TATTCACTAAATTCACTATTCACGTGAATAGTAACTCGAATAGTAACCTCGCAAAAAATTGACAAAATTCACAACCCAAAAGCTCTGATACCAGTTGTTGGGAAATAAACCAAGTACAAGTAATTTCTCTATAACCAGATTAGTGAGAATGCAAAATAAAAGCGGAAAAATAATACTCGAAATTGATCACGGAGTTCAGCCAATTGTGCTTACGTCTCCGGACTGCTGCAGATCTTTTACTAAGAGAGAAAATTTACAGGTGTTTACAAAACACTCACTACTCACAAGAAAACTCTCTAGTATTGGGAGAAATAAATGATTTTTGGGATGATTTTGAAGCTAAATGAGCTAGGGTATTTATAGTTGAAACTAAGGACTTAATCTTGTAAATACCCTAAAACCTAGGGATTAATTGTGATTATCCCATTATCATTTTTCAACAAACATCTACCAAACTTTGAAAAACTATTTTTCAAAGAAACATTTACCAAACTTTGAAAATCACTTTTTCAAAGTTGGTTACCAAACTTTAAAACCATTTTAATACTTTCAACAAAACTCAGGTACTCAGATCTCTTTAAACTACAATGCAACTCTCACTACTATGGACGCTCTCATACCTCACTCAGTGACGTCTTGAATCAACTGAGCTTTGCAAGTCTATATTTCTATAGCAAATGCGCAATAAGTCATATATAAAGAATTATCGAAACAAGCTATTAATTAAAAGAAGTATGAAATCGTTTGAACATAAAAAATGAAAGAGTCAGATCAAGTTTAGAAACGAGTCTATGATCACGCAAGTATATGTTTCTCTCGAGCTCGAATACAGCCAGTGATGAACCTGTTGCGGCGTGTCGATCCCTGTAATCTCTCGATTTACAGATCTTGTCATTAATATCAACTCTCCAAGAAAAATTCAAACTCTCATGGTGTTTGGCGAGCAAAAAGCCTAAGAAAAATATCGAAGAAATTGACGATGAAAGATAAGTATAAAAATAACAATCTAATTTTTATTCAAAAATCTAACCTGCTATCTTCTCTAATCCATCATACAAAAAATGTCAAGGATCATTCCTTATATAGGCTTGTCACCTCACACTAATGTCAAAATAGTTTGTTGAAATTGTTATACCAGTTACCCTGTGGTTCCTGCTCCAAAGGTAGCACCTTTCTTTATACAAGGCTTTGTTCTTCTCATTCTACCTGTATCAATACTCAGGGATGGACCTAGGTGGGTGGGAATGGGGCGATCTCTCCCTAAAAATTTTAAATTTCTATATAATTTAGATATTTTCTATTAAAAATCTATTTCGCTCCCCTCCCCTAACGTATAATTATGCGTCCATCCATATTGATACTTCAGTAAACATGTTAACAATCAATGTGTCGAAATATAGTTAAAAAATAATGCAAATGCAAATAGATACTATAAAGGCATGAACAAATGAGCGACGACTAGTGAATGACAAAGGAGAGTTTAAGGGGATTTAAACATGTCATGCTATGGCAAAGGGAGCGATCGATTGATAAGAGTCTGTCGATAACAGAATGGGTGATGGTGATTAATTAGATAGTATAGGTTCGTCGTTGCTGCCGAATCCGTGGGTGATTTAAGAATTTGAGGATTAAGACTTTAGATTTTTTTAAGCGAGCTTTAAAAATTAGAATAAACTACGCGTTTAGTATCTAAAGTATCAGTTTTGATCAATTTTAGTATCTAAACTTTCATTTTTTCAAAACCATATCCAACGTTTAGTTTTTGTTTCATTTAGTACCCGTCGTTAAAAATTTAACAGACTGACTGATTTGACATAGCTCCAATGGATGGATGACCAATATGAATGGTGACCACGAGAGGCTGACGAGTCGACTAACATAGTCCAGTTTGAAACCCATCGAACGATGGACCATGGAGATCGAAGGATGAAAAAAATCTAAGAGTTCATAACCGATTTGGGGAGATTGGGGCGTTTCCTAATGAAACGGAGGCCGAAATCGCATCTAGGAGTCGAAAAGGTACAGGTTGGAAAGTTTGGGCCTCTTCGGCTATTGGATGTGATGGCCAGCGACTGTAGACACGGACGACAAGCCCGTCCGTTAAGTTTTTAATAGTGGGTATTAAAATGAAACAAAAACTAAACCACAAGTATGATTTAAAAAAAATAAAAGGTTAGGTATTAAAATTGATAATTTAGGTACTAAACGAGTGGTTTACCCTAAAAATTAAAAGGTTTAAGTTGTTTTTAAAATTAAATTATATATTATGTATGTATTGGATGACATAGTTTTTTATGGATATTAGTGATTAACCTTTAAATGATAATAGAATAAAATATTAAACTATTACTATGATAAAAAGAGAGTTAAGTTTCTAAAGCAAAATTCTTTTAAAGATTTAACTCAAAATTTTGACTAAAATATGTTGAATACTTATATTTTCACTTGAATATTAATAATAAAATTTCACATCATCGAAATGAATTAGTAATATTATTAATTTAAATTTGTTAATAATATAATTAAAATAAAATATTAAATTATATCAAAAAAGAAAAAAGATCAAATATAAAATTTTAACTTAAAAGAAGGATTAAAATCATAATTAGACCTAGGAATTAACAAAGTAATAAACTAAAGGTAAACTACACCAGATACCACCAAACTTTAGGCATTGTATTATTTATACCATTAAACTTTCAATTTTTCCAATTATAATATTGACTTTGATTTTCATTTTATTTATACCACTAAACCGTTAAATCATTAACGACATGATGATGTGGTTAATGGTTGTCGATGTAGACACCTCACCAAAATGACATCGTTTTGATCTGATTGTTAATGATTTGATGGCCCAATGGTATAATTGAAATGAAAATTAAAGTTCAGTGCTATAATTGGCAAAATTAAAAGTTTAATATATAAACGATACAATGCTTAAAGTTCGGTGGTAGCTGATGTAGTTTACCCTAAAATAAATAAACAAGTTTATATTAATAAATGTGAGAATACATGTGTGATGCCGGACGGATGGACCCCATTTCTTAATTTAATTTAATTTTAGTTTATACTAATAATAAAAATGATTTAATTGAGTTGGTTAAGCTACCTGGAAGCAGCTTTGATTAATTATTGATTTGATCTGAGAGATTCAGATCGATTTAGCTTCGTGGAGGCCACCCTTAATTAATACATTAATCAATAATTTATTACTTGTTTGTTTCATTACAATTATTATTTATTAATTTAATAGTTAATTTTCTAATTTTAATTTATTTCTATTTCAAATGTATTATTAATATAAACTTTAAAAAAATTAATAAATTTCAATGATTTTTTTAAATAAATATTTTATAAATTTCATGCAGTGATGAATAATTGGGAAACAGTTGAGTTGTAGAAAATGGGTTCATACAAAAAAAATGAATTTTTACATAAAATGGTATATATTTGAAGATATTAACAGGATTGGGAGAAAAGATATTAATAAGAGGAGTGGTGTGGGGCGAGGGGAATTTTTTTTTTCGGTTCTTAAAATTTCGATTGATTTGACGGATTTAAGTTACACATCTAATTTGATAGGTAAATTTATCACGAAAATTTTTAAGATCTACTTAAATAATATCAAACTATTTATTATTTAGATTAATTTGTGTTGATGGAACCTTAATATTTATGGAAAAGAAAAAAAAAACATAGAATGTCATATTTCATTAATTAATAATTGCTGTAATTATGGCAGGCGACATAATTGACATTTTGCACTGCATGCAAAAATGGGAAATTGTTTGCCATTTCCACGTCTATTTTTCTATTAATTAACATCTTCTCTCGACTAATCTCTGCAATAAATGAAGAAAAGTTGCTACAACCTGAGTGTAAGAATGGATGGTATGTTAGAAGATGAATTTATAAAATTTTAGAGTAAAATATATAAATAGTCTCTCGATTATGGATGTTGATTTGTTGAGTTTTTCGACTATTAAAAGTTGTAAAATAGTCCCATAACTATATGATGTTGCTATGTTTAGTCTCCTGACTATTACAAGTTATAAAATTATTACTCGACTATTCATTATATTTCAAACTTGTCTTTTTTCATTAAAAAGTTTATGATCTTCTGAGCTGGACCTTAAGCTGTTGACTGAGATAATATAAAATTTGATATCAAAATCTCAAACGATTATATAATTCAAACGATTCCGGGATCAAATTTTATCGTATCTCAATCAGTAAGTTAACGTCCAACTCAAACGACCATCAAATTTTTAATGAAAAATAACGAGTTTGAAACATATGAATACTCAAACGACCATTTTGTAAGTTTTAATAGTCGATGATCTCAATAAAACAGCGTTGTATATTCAGAGAACTATTTTATAATTTTTAATAGTAAGGGATCCCAACAAAACAACATCCTATAAATCATTTATGTACTTTATTCAAAATTTGAAGGAATAAAAGTAAATTATAAATAGAAAATACAAATAAAATATATGAAAATTTAAAATCTTTAAGAAATTAATCGCCAACAAAATTGAATTTTCATCAGAAAAGCTTGGAATGGTTACTTTGAAACAGGTTATTTGGTCCAGCCATCTTTGTCCCAAAAGTTTCTGAATCCTTCATCAATGTCCAAATTTAGCTTTTGCCCCACAAGTTGCATTATCATATTCTATATACGCTTCTTATTTTTCAGAGATGATCAGCACAATGTATGACCAGTCCATTAAAAGAGCTGTCTGTCAAAGGTTTACATTCTTTTGTGACTAATTCCATAGCACATTTGGATTTTCACTCCAACCTTATCTAGTTAGTCTTGTTACTTATGCATTTTCCAGAGTTATCAGTTACTTCAACATAAACTGGTTGTTACACCAGTCCATGCACATTTCATTCTTGAAATGAAGTGAACCTCTCAACCGCAAACAGTTCAAACCGTAGACAATCGTCGAAAAAGGGCTCAAAACGGAACGCGACACAGTTTTCGAGTCTCCTTATACCACCGCAACATTATACTTCGGTTCATATAGCTCAATGAGAATGTTCCAGAGGTACTGCTCTTCCTTTGGGACTCCTAGAGCAAAGGTAACCAAACCAGATTCGCCTTTGAATTCGTACACCACGTCTTCCGAATCGACCGTTATCCTTTGTGGTTGAGTCAATGAATAGGCGCCAAACAGACCGCAGCCTCGAACTTTCAAGTTAATAGTTGTAACAGGGTCCTCAGATTCACATTTCAATCCCTTGATGGCCCCTCCTGAATTGAACATCTCGATTAGGCCTATGGGAGCAAATTTAGACCCACTGGACAGTGCCATAACAGGAACAACAGTAAAAACTTCATATTCCCGGTGCTTTAACGTAATCGGGATAGACGCGTTTCTTGCGAGATAAGTCACTTCTCCTGCATCACGGAGAATTTCATTAATCTGCAATTTTCATTTGTATTAAGGAATGAAATAAAAGCTTTGCAATACATACCACCAAGATGTGAATATAAGATGCTATCCCCAGTCCAACCATCCTCAGCTACTTGAGGCAGATACTCAACATCTCTAGCTTTAATAAAGCCTGTGATAGTGGCAGGTTGTTCATCATGGTTAACCATCTTCTTCGTAACCCCGCACCATCCGGCTCCTTGGCAATTGAATACCCCGATGACACCGGTAAAATCGTTTAGGTTCCATATTTTCAGAAGACTGCAAAACCAAAGCGTACATAAGAAAATTAGGGAGGAAGTTGATCCCAAAGGATATTAGCAGATTAGTCTAACCTTTTTCCATCTCTGACTGGATCAGAAAATAAGCAGTCTCTAGTTGGTCTTCCAGGATATTTCGCCCTCAACACGGAACCATCGGGAAGTACAAGCTTCTTCAACAGATTGAAATCATGATGTCCAGGTTTATCACTGCAAAAGCGAAGATCAAGCATCCAATATAAGAAATCAAAATTTCAATTGATTACAGTTAAACAAAAGCCATTAGAACTAATGACCAAAAGTTGCACCTGACATATATAGCACATCCTCCCACAGCACGAGCAGCTCCGTGGTATTCAGTCATTGGATGTAAGCTCTGGCATAAGAATTAATGAATTTATTTTCAATTTAAAACCCAAAAAGCATCAAAACAAAATGGTGAATGTAATACGGAAGGGTGGATAATTATAACTTGTTAGCTTACATGAAACATGTCCCAATCTGGCTGCATAAACTCCCCGATGAAAATGGTATTATAAGCGACTGATGCAATGTGAATCGTATGAGAGGCAGGATCTCTTGGGAAGAAATCATCTGAAGCTCTCATAACAGCCGTGTTCTTTGCACTGCAAAAACAGATTGTTAACTCATGAAAATACATAACTACGGGTATGCGCGATAACATCGTATAACTGATTAGAACAGCTACCTATATAAAGTGTCGGTGTTGTGACTCATACAAGCAATAATCGCATTGTCACGGAAATTACTAGATATTGAGGCCTCTAATGCCTGATGGTATTTTCTAGTGAGTTTTACTCTTCCACCATGTCCGGTTCCAAGAGTTTCAAGAATGCTTTGAACATCAACTTTAACACCATCAATACCAGAAGATGCCAGATATGAATGAAGATCATTGAAGAATTCAAAAGCTTTCTCCGGATTCACTAAACCAACACCATTCATAGTGATGGACTGCAAAACATCAGAATAATCGTTCGACCGTACCCCTGGAGATGAAATAGGATATACTAACTGTAGACACCCGTTTTTGTCCGGGTCTTTTTTATATTATTTAATTTTATTAATTATTATTAATTATTATTATTATTATTATTAAATTATATATTACAAATTTTGTACAGGCCCAATTACACACCCAAGGCCAAATCAGCAGCCAACCCAAAGCCCAGATTGCAAGTGACAAGCCCAATCCCGGAGCCCAACAACCCAGACTGAACCAACCCATCAGATTAGGGTTTCAAACCCTAAATCAGATTAGGGTTTCAAACCCTAAATTAGATTAGGGTTTCAAACCCTAAAACAATTTAGGGTTTCAACCCTAATCCCCTAACTACACAGCCGCCGCTCAAGCCAGATTCCAATCCCCAGCCGCACGTTGATCTTCACCAGTCATTCCTGAGCCGCGTGAGTTGCTGTCGAGCCAACCCGAGCCACCAAGCCGAGATGTCCCGTCGCCGCCGACTGTTCTCCTGCATGAACAGTGACCGGTTCCTGTAAAAACAGTAACCAAGTCAAATAACAGTAGCCTAAATCCGAGAATCCATTTAAAAACAGATTAAATCCCGAAAAATCGGGATGTAATCATGCAAAGTCAGTGAGACCCATCTCCTATTTTTTTCTAAATATCATCATCTCACCAGATAAAAAACATAAAGCAAGGGAAACGAAAGAATAGAGAAAAAAAAAAGGGGGAAACATCCATTCGAAAAAAATAAAAAAAAGATAGAGTAAGAATCTTACCCTGGTTTTTGACCACCACCGTTGCTTCATCGGAGCCAAGCGTCCCTCACCGAAGGTAAAAGAAACTTGTCTTTTTTTTTTTGGGGGCTTGTTGGGTTCGAAATCAAAGGGTTTATCTGGGTATTAGGTCAGTGTAGTGGGTAGATCTAAGGTCGTAGAGAACCTTCTCTGGGTTTGGGTTACTCCCCGTGGCCACCGTTCTACGGTGGCCGGGGAGTTAGGGCCTCTGTTTTAGGCGAAGGAAGATGAAGATATGAGAAGGGAGAGGAATAGCCAAACGGCTGAGGAAATGAGGGAGAGAGCAAATGATTTTAGGGTTTCAGAATAACCCTTAAAAGGGTTATATTTCAGACGTCGAGCGACGTCGTTTTGAAGCATGAGTGAGGCCGAGTGATGGGATTAAGGGCTAATAGCCTATTTGGTCCTCTTACCTCTGTAATCTTGCACGCGTGTTCTTAACATATATGGGTAAATAACAGTTTAGGTCCCTCGAGCTTTTGTAAGGGTTGTAATCTGGTCACTAAATAAATTCCATGCCATCTTATTTCGAGCCTATAGTTTTATTTTGTTTTATTTGAATCACTAGTTGATATATTATGTATGTTTTATGATCTTCGAATTTGGACCTGTGATTTATGTTTTTTTCATTTTAGCCACTGTTCTGGTGTGTTATTCATTTTTGTTAATGTTTTAAATTTGTCCATGACACTTGCATACATTTTATTCTAGTCACTAATTAGCCTATGGTTTAATTACGTTGTAAGGGTCCCCGTGTTTTGTAAGTTGTCTAAGGGCTTAGTGTATTTTATTTATTCTGTACTTCAAGCCCCATATTTTTAAAGTTTACGCATTGGTCACTGGACTGGTTATTGTTAATATTTTTGAAAGTTTAGACATTATACCCTTTATTTATGAAACTTTTATCTTGATCACTACTCTCATATTTTGGGTTGAATATCGATTAATGTCTGTTTATTTTACTTTCATTATATTTTAGTCCTTATCTGTTTATTATTACATTTTATTAGAGTTCGAATTTGGCCATATTTTATGCATGTTTCGTTTTAGTCCTTGTTTAATATTTGGCTTAATTGTGGTTTAGTTCTTTATGTTTTTTTCATTTCATTTTGGTCCCTAATATGATTTATGGTTTATTTGTTTTACTGTTTTTTAATATTTGTTAATTATATTTTAGCCCCTTAAATGTTTTAATATTTATTTTGGTCTGTAATATTTACTAATTTGTATTTTAGCCATTTATGTACGGATGTGCATTTTACTCATTAGATGATTATTGGTATTGTGTTTACTTTAATTTAATATAAATCTTTATATTTCCAATCACATTTATTTTCATTATATTTTTATCTATGTAAGAAATATTCGATTATATTTTCAAGAACACGTATGCGTAGAATGGGCGTGGAAAATACCACTTGGTCGAAGTGGTACGATCCGATACGGCATTTTAACGACATAGGGACTTGTAACAAGTCGAGTATATTTTACTAATTAATTTATTAAAATGTGTGGTACCTTAAGTGATGCTCACTTTATTTTATGAGAATGTAAATTTTAAATTTTCATTTTATATTCGATACACATTTTTAAATAAATGATGAGAGAATATTCTTTACAAGTAAGAAATAGACGAGGTAGCTTTCCCGGCGGAGGATTGCAAATCTCGGGATTTCTTATCGAGAAAGGGTTTTTATTTATTTTAACTAATATTCAATAAATAGATCATAATTTATTTATTATTCTATTTTCATAATTTTTATTGTATTAATGGTTGTTATGTTAATATTAACGATACATAAATTAAGCATATTTTATTTTCTACTCATGACGATATTATTTAGTGGTAATTCAAAGATAGGATATACTTTATAGATAAGAAATAGATGAGGTAGCTTTCCCGTTGGAGGATTGCAAATCTTGAGATTTCTTACCAAATGAAGTATTTCTATTATTTTAACAAATATTCAATAAATAGATCATATTTTTACTTCATATTCAAATTGTAATTTCCACATTTACGACGATGTGTAAGCTACACAGTACCAATTTTGGGCGTTGTGGGGTGTTTACCCTTCCCCACACGTAACCGACTCCCGAACCTGTTTTAAATGAATCTTTGGTAACGTAGACCAAATTTTTGTCTTATAAAATTATTTTTCTTAAAATTGTTTTTAAAAGACGTTTAGGTATTTGACCTACCTAACCCAAAGGTCGATGGCGACTCTTTTCAATTTTATTCAAATCCATTCAAAATCACCAAATTTTCCAAATTAAAGTCATAATTGTTTTTAAAAAATAATATTTAATTGTTTTAAAAAAAATGGTTATGACAGCTTGGCGACTCTGCTGGGGACGTCTAGAGAGTCAGGCTGTCGGTCGCTTATATATGGTCGTTATGGTGGAAATTATAAGTTCGAATCTTTAGTAAAACTATGATCTATTTATTGTATTTTTATTATTTTATCTCTTTATTTTTATATACTAACATTTTAATTGTTTTCATTTTTTTTCAGATATTTCTTAGTTCTCGTTAGGTGTTTTTTATTTTATTTTTATTTTTATTTTCCCTGTTTTTTGAGTCAAAGGTTTGTTTGTTTCTCCTCACACACATCACTTTCATTAGCATAACATGAGCTCTAGACATGAGTTTCGATCCAAATTAGTTAGGGTGATTGCTTTACTCTCGTAAGAATTTATTCTTCGTATGAGTTTTAGCAAATAACCCATGGGATACATACCTTATACCTTCGTAGGAATTTATTCCTCGTATGGGTATAAGGCCGTGAATCCCCTCGAATTGAACTCGGTCCGTTTGAAACCTGTAATGGGTGAGGATTGAGGGTTTGGTAGCCCAAGGGGGCACTGACATCAAGGACAATTCGAGTTCCTTTTTTCCTGTTAGAGCTGAAACCATGCATATAGTGAACCATAGAACGATCACACTAGGTAGAGTCATACTGAACCGCGGTCCGTCAATAGGTACCCAGAATAGGTGTACACAATGGAGAAACCCTCTAACCTTTTTATTTTATTTTATTTATTTATTTTTGAGTGTGTAGAATAGATTTATTCTGTTAAAGCATGTGAAATAGAATTTAGGTGCAGTTAGAATTTAATTAATTTAGGAGGGTAGGGAGCATGTTTGGGTAGGACCCTTTTTGAGGAATATTTAGGGTAGAGAATACATAAATAGAATAGATTTATTTCCCGTTTTACTTATCTTTTTATGTTAAATTTATGCAATTGTTTTGACTAACTGTTTTGTTTGTTTCGTTTATTTTTTTATACTGCATAGACATATCATTAGAAAGGCGATTGATCTGTGAGTATCGATAAAGTGGAAAGACTTTCACGATGGAAAGGAGTTTCCTAAACAAAGAAGTGAATCCAGCAGATGTAAGGAACTGGTCCGAAGCCAAGCAGAAAGAGCAGGGAGATAGTCTATCAGGGAACTACGTGTCGGATCTGTCTGATTATACACCAGCTTCTTTAAAACAGAATGAACTTCAGGGATTGAAAACCATTTTGGAAAATTGGAATCTTATTGAGAGGCAAGCTTTTCAGCAGACTTATGGGGATATATTTCATCTGATATACGTGAAGGTAGATCCGGTTCTCATACGAAGCATAATACAATTTTGGAATCCGGCCTATAGTTGTTTCACATTCAACCGAGAGGACATGACTCCAACCCTCGAGGAATACCAATTTCTGTTGAATTTGCCAAGCGTTAAAGTAGACAAAGTTTACTCCCGATCGATAAAAGGGCCTGCTTTTAAGTCAAAACTTGCAAAGATCTCGGGCACAAGCGACAAATGGGTAAATGATCGCTTGCAACGCAAGGGAGAAAGTGAGGGAGTGCCGTGGTCTCACTTACAAAAGATAGCTGAAGCACATGTAGACGAAAACGTGCGTAGAGATGTATTTGCTTTGGGTATATACGGTTTGGTAATCTTTCCAAAATGTTTGGGATTGATCGAGCTAGCAGTAGTTGATTTGGTTGAGAAGTTAGGAAGAGAGGTGAATCCAGTCCATGCGATTCTTGCTGAAACTTTCCGATCTTTGAATATATGTAGAAGGTTGGGGGGAGGTCGTTTTATGGGCCGTGCTCAATTGCTTACTGTGTGGATCAGAAGCCATTTCTGGAAGGAAGAAAAAGTCAACTATAATCGTTTTTTGAAAGATTATTCTCCTGTTGCTGAGTACCTTACGAAGGAGTGGCCTGAAGTATCTCAGAAAGATCAATGGATTGATTTCTTCCGGAATCTACAGAGTCAAAACATAGCATGGCGAACACCGTGGCTGATGCATACACAAATCTTGTTCAAGTGTGGAGATTTGGACTGGATTATATTACTGGGACTGTGGGGAGGAGTGGGATACGCTCCTTTGTTGATATTGAGACAGTACGGTGCCCGACAGTTTGTTCCCGTGACTCATGGGTTGACTGGTGCTGAATTTGAT